AACGGGGAGGCCTAGCCTCACCGCCGCGTCGTGGGCTCTCTGGACAGCCCGTAGTTGTGGCAGCAACTCAGAACTTCGTAAGGCAGAGTCCCAATCTTCTTCTGTGAGCCGACTTGGGTCCCGTAACGAGGGGCACTGCCAGAGCATATGTGCTAAGTCACTAACCTCTCCACAATCAGGACAGGTAGAGTCAAAAGCCTCTGAGGAGACTATGCTGAGGAAAAATAGGCTTGGATAAGACCTGGTCTGGAGCATTCTAAACGTGATAGCTTGAGGTCTAGACAACTTGTTGTGTGGTGGAGCAAATGACCGCCTGCTCAACTGGTAGTGTTTAGCCACTTCACTGAATGTAAGTAAAGCGCCCCTCAACATCTCACTGCCAACCTGCGGACCTATGTCCTCCCCAGCGCGGAGGGTTAGTGCGCGCGCCTGGGAGTGAGCAGTGTCACTCAGGTTTACTTGAGAGTCCAGTAGGGGTTCAAGATGTGCAGGAAGCCAGGTAATGGTATGTGGAAAAAGTGTCCTACTTTCAAGTAGTTTAAATACTTCAGTACAGTCGGAACCAGAGGCGAAAGCCTTGACCGCTGACCTTGATTCGGTGAAGATTTGCGATTCACTGTCATCCAAAAGGGCAAGGGCTACAGCCAACTGTTCGGCTCTTGGGGGAGTAGAGTCCCTAACTGACGCAGCATTGATAATAGAGCACATATTATTGACGGGAATAACAGAAAACCTAGCTGAGCGACCATACTGAGCGGCATCGCCAAACAAACTGAACGAGGATCGTTCCTGATGTTCTTCAGATGTGTGATGGCCCTAGCCCGGCGCTTTCCTACGTTGTGCTGAGGATGAACGTTTCGCGGAAACGAAGAGACCTGGATGGCAGTACGCTGTTCATCTGGTAGTTAAAGACGGTGATCCTCTGCGAGCGCCGGACTGAGGCCTAGAACGGACAGAATCTTCCTACCAGCTGGCATAGACGACAGGCGCATTAGCTGTGCAGTCTCTTGAGCTTCAATGATCTCATCTAGGGTGTTATGAACTCCTAGCTGCATAAGCCGTTCAGTGCTTGTCCGCACGGGGATGCCGAACACCCTCTTTACGTTTTTTTTTCTGATCAGAGTTTCCAGCTTCTTTTCGAATCCATACCAAGAGTAGATGGCAACAACCTATCTTATGTGGCTCATGAGGAATGCATGAAAGAGCCTCAGTAGATTGTTTTCTCTGAGTCCCCCCCCCCTTCTGTTCGAAACCCTATTAATCAACCTGATCATGTTCTCGGTCTTGGTTGAAATCTTAGTGATGGTTTGTCCGTTGCATGCGTGCGACTCTATAATCATGCCCAGCACTCTAACAACGTCCACTCTCGGAATGGGGGCACCACTTCCGGTGTGAAGTAAAATGTCTACCTTTGATAAAGGCTTCCAGTTTTTTGGCCTGGCTCTTTTTCTATTGGACCTGTATAGAAGCAGCTCCACCCTGAAGACTGCTCGTCCCCTATTGCAGCCAGCCGAGCAAACGCACCTACCGATGAAATCACGATGATGATTGCTCCTGATCTTCCGCTCTGTCAGGCTGCGCAACTACACCACATTCTGACCACCTACCGAGATATTTTCGACATTGATAACCGCCCTTTAGGTCAAACGTCCGTCGTGCGTCATCAAATACATACCGGCAATGCTAGTCCTGTTAGACGGCGACGTACCATATCGTGTTTCCCAGTCCGAACGCCAGGTCATACAACGAGAAGTCGGGAAGATGCTCTCCAAAGGAGTCATAGATGCATCTTCAAGTCCATGGGCGTCACCTGTTGTTTTAGTCAAAAAGAAGGATGGCAGTTGGAGATTTTGAGTTGACTACCGTGCCTTGAACAAAATAACCCGCAAAGACGTACATCCGCTGCCACGAATCGACGACGCCCTTGACTGCCTTCATGGCACGCGATACTTATCATCTATAGATCTGCGTTCGGGCTATTGGCAAATTTCTGTGGACGACTTAGTCCGCGAAAAAACTGCCTTTGTCACACTGGGCAACCTTTATGAGTTCAAGGTTATGCCTTTTGTGACGTGCAACGCCCCGGCAACGTTCGAACGCATGATGGACTCTCTCATCCGTGGTTATAAATGGTCCATCTGCCTCTGCTACCTCGACGACGTGATTGTTTTTTCCCCAACATTTGAAAGCCACCTAACTCGTTTGTCGACCATTCTAGCCGTTTTTCGTCGAGCGGGACTCCAGCTGAACTCGAAAAATTGCAAGTTCGGCTGACTAGAAATCACGGTCCTTGGTCATAGTGTAAGTGCTGCTGGCGTCCAACCGGACCCTGACAAGATTAGCGCAGTCAAGAACTTTTCTCTGCCTCATACTACCAAAGATGTTCGTTGTTTTGTGGGCTTATGCTCGTACTTCCGAAGTTTTATACGCAATTTCGCTACAATTGCACGACCACTCACTGATCTCAAAAAGAATGCGCCCTTCTCGTGGGGCCAAGACCAAGCAGCTGCGTTTTCCACGCTGATCCAGCTGCTCACTTCACCACCAATACTGACTCACTTTAACCCGTCTGCGACGACTGAAGTTAGCACAGACGCCAGTGTTCACGGCATCGGCGCCGTCCCCGCTCCACACCAGGGAGGCCAAACGCGTATTATTGCGTATGCCAGCCGCCTTCTCTCCACATCTGAGCGAAACTATTTGATAACGGAGCGCAAGCGTTTTGCGTTGGTCTGGGCTGTAGCTAAATTTCGCCCCTAACTTGTATGGCCGGGAGTTTTCAGCTATTACGGATCACCACGCTCTGTGTTGGTTGTCGTCGCTCAAGGACCCAACTGGTCGCCTAGGTCGCTGGGCTCTACGTCTCCAGGAGTATAAGTTTATTTCACTCAATTTACATTAAATGGCTTCACGCCAAGTCAGCGTATGGTTACTAACGCACGCAATATCTAGAGCTTCGCCCACTCGTCCCGATTTACTTCATGAAGATGCGTGAATTTTATTTCTTAATATATTTCCTTCTCATTTTGTACCGTTTATTTTATTACCACGTATCTAAGATGGAAATACGTCCCTAATGGCTTGGTGAAATCTGGTATAAAACACTTCCATGTTAAATCAACAAGGCTGATGCCTCCGTCATGGAAAGCATGCAGTGTAACGCAAAATTGAAATGTGTCGTCGCC